GACATTGGGTGTATCTGGTGCCCATGCTGACATTGGGTGTATCTGGCGCCCATGCTGACATTGTATCTGGCGCCCATGCTGACATTGTATCTGGTGCCCATGCTGACATTGGGTGTATCTGGCGCCCATGCTGACATTGGGTGTATCTGGTGCCCATGCTGACATTGGGTGTATCTGGCGCCCATGCTGACATTGGGTGTATCTGGTGCCCATGCTGACATTGGGTGTATCTGGAGCCCATGCTGACATTGTATCTGGCGCCCATGTTGACATTGCGTGTATCTGGCGCCCATGCTGACATTGTATCTGGTGCCCATGCTGACATTGGGTGTATCTGGCGCCCATGCTGACATTGGGTGTATCTGGTGCCCATGCTGACATTGGGTGTATCTGGCGCCCATGCTGACATTGCGTGTATCTGGCGCCCATGCTGACATTGCGTGTATCTGGCGCCCATGCTGACATTGCGTGTATCTGGCGCCCATGCTGACATTGCGTGTATCTGGCGCCCATGCTGACATTGCGTGTATCTGGCGCCCATGCTGACATTGCGTGTACCTCGAAACACTGACTATGAAACCACCAAGAACTAACTAGTCACTTACAGGTGAATAAGAGAGAGAGAAACTGTATTGCTTCCTGTAGGGAAGGCAAAACTTGTGAGCCTGTTGGGCCAGAGAGCATTGTCCCTTCCTGTTTTTATTTGTTAACAGTCGAGGCGAGAGTGTGAACATTATGTTTTAAGGAGACTTTTGCATACCCGACTCCAGTTACCTCTGATCATTAATTACGTCATCATCACGTGTATTGGATCTACATATAATCTACATATAGTATTACAGTGTCAATAACATCTAATGTTTCACCATTAAAGAAATATTTCATATTCATTTCAATTTTCACTGACATCGTTTATTGATGAATTAGTTTATAGCCCTTTTTATAACTGATATTGCAACTCGAGCGGAAAATGCAAATGCTCTCTCAAATGCCCTTCACAGCCAACCAAAAAAAGGAACCATTTTTAATCATTCTTTTACATTAGGTTCTGAGCGGAAAAGATTCGAGAAGTGATAGATTCGTTGATGGTTCGTGATGATGTTGGTGTTGAGCGGAGAGAGGTGGCGGTAAGTGATTTTCGTGAGCTGATGAGTAAGAGGGAAGGATGTCTGGGATGCTCCCAGACGCAGGTTCGAATCCTCGTCACGGCCCTTGTGGATTTGTTCATTTAAGCGGGAAGGGTTAGTAAAGAAATGGTAAAGTAAAGGTCAGAAGGATTATTGAAGGATATACAGGCGATGAGTCACAATAACGTGGCTAAAGTATGTTGACCAGACCACACACTAGAAGGTGAAGGGACGACGACGTTTCGGTCCGTCCTGGACCATTCTCACAATCGACTTGAGAATGGTCCAGGATGGACCGAAACGTCGTCGTCCCTTCATCTTCTAGTGTGTGGTCTTGTCATTATTGAAGGATATGTCAAGAAGTAGTAGTAGTAAGGAAGTCATTAGGATGAGATCCGAATAAGGACAAGTCATAAGGATAAACAAAGAATGAGTTAACGGATAAATAGAAGACAAAAAAATATGAATAAATGGAGTACAGTGGTAAATTAAGGGGGAACAAAGGGAAGACCCAATGATACCATAACAAGTAATAGATGAGAGACGGAGATAATAAACGGAGGGTAAACAATGGAAAACAAAGACACAAATCAAATATGAAAGGGTGTTACCGGCTCACCATAGCCCATGCTACTTGGAACTTTGTTCCAAGTAGCGAATCTTTAACAACAACAAAAACATCTCAGGAGTTGTGAAGCCGAGCAAGACCTGGTGAATCGTGATTGGTTGATGGAGATTAGGCCACCCAAGAGGTGGCACGGGCATGAATAGCCCCGTAATGGTGGAGAGAAGATTGTTGTTTTTAGGGAAGGGATGTTATGAAGAATGTATTCGTCCATCTTTCTCCTTCCCTCTCCTCTCCCCCTCTCTCTCGTTCTCTCTCCCCTCTCCCGTTCTCTCTCTCTCTCTCTCTCTCTCTCTCTCTCTCTCTCTCTCTCTCTCTCTCTCTCTCTCTCTCTCTCTCTCTCTCTCTCTCTCTCTCTCTCTCTCGTCTCTCTCCCCCCTTGCTCTCTCTCTCGTTCTCTCCCCCCTTGCTCTCTCTCTCTCTCTCTCTCTCTCTCTCTCTCTCTCTCTCTCTCTCTCTCTCTCTCTCTCTCTCTCTCTCTCTCTCTCTCTCTCTCTCTCTCTCTCTCTCCCCCCCTCTCCCCCCCTCTCTCCCCCTCTCTCCCCCTCTCTCCCCCCTCTCCCCCTCCCCCTCTCTCTCCCCTCCCCCCCTCCCTCTCTCCCTCCCTCCCCCCCTCCCTCCCTCCCTCCTTCCCCCCCTCTCTCAGCTCTAGTGTTCCGAGGTAGTGGTGTAGGCATGTCTTGTTCATCAGAGATCAGTGTTGACACCTACTTGTTGAAGATTAATTAAAGTTTTGTCATGTAATGCCCATCACACCTTCCAGTCCACAATATAAACTTTATATAAGAAATAATGACCTGAATAAATAAATAACAAATGGAGAAGATGAACATAAGCTACTGATAATAAATATTAAAATACTGCAGTGACTTCTAGTATGATACTAAATTAAGTAAAGTATAATAAAAGTATAAGTTTATACAAAATCCTCATTTAAGAGTAAAATTGTTTTAATGTAACTTTCTTTTTGTACTGAGTTTATTTGTTGGTTGTGTGAAGTGTGTAAACATTGAGTGGTTTATGTATGTAGGTGGTTTGTAGAAATTATCTTAATCTTCGTATCTCCCTCCCCTCTTTATCTCCCTTCCTTCCTTCCTTCTTATCTCCCTCCCTCCCTTATTGTTTAGTGACACTAGCGGTAGGTCTCTGGAGTGAGAAGAGCCGCCACGCACTAAATGTTAACATATCCGCGGATGGAAGTGACTAATATAATATCAACCACAACCTTGTGTGAGAACTATGACCATGGTGGGATGCGCTTGTGCGCATTCTATTTGTCATGCGTTGCATGCGCGCAGTTCAAATAAGATGCGCTTAGATATTTGTTGACGTCTCTCTTGACAATTTTCTTTCCTTGTTGACTTTATCTACCTAATTCTTAACTTAAGGTTCATCTATGTTTCTGCGTCCATAATAGACTCGATTCTAGACTTTCTCCTCCACTTCCCTAGCCTTCTCCATCTCTCCCCCAACTTTCCCTGTCTTTCCCAATATTCTCCACCCTTACCAATCCATCTCCACCTCCACCAAGTTCTCCTGTCCCTTCTCAAAACTCTCCCCACCCTCCAATCCTCCCCCTCCACCCCCCAATCCTCCCCCTCCACCCCCCAATCCTCCCCCTCCACCCCCAATCCTCCCCCACCCCCAATCCTCCCCCTCAACCCCCAATCCTCCCCCTCCACCCCCAATCCTCCCCCTCCACCCCCAATCCTCCCCCTCCACCCTCAATCCTCCCCCTCCACCCTCAATCCTCCCCCTCCACCCTCAATCCTCCCCCTCCACCCTCAATCCTCCCCTCCACCCCCAATCCTCCCCCTCCACCCCCAATCCTCCCCCTCCACCCCCAATCCTCCCCCTACACCCTCAATCCTCTCCCTCCACCCTCAATCCTCCCCCTCCACCCCCAATCCTCCCCCTCCACCCCCAATCCTCCCCTCCACCCCCAATCTTCCCCACTGTGTACTTCGCCCGAGGGAGCATCAAGGATCATATCTTTAGAATGAAAGACATTGCTCCGCTTTGCAAACACGCAGTTAAAGAAGCCAGTTGGTATTTCCCGCAAATCTCACGCATTTAAGGAGTGTTGGCAACGCGGGAGACTCGCTCCACGACCTGAAGTGCGCGATACTACGCTTGTCTGAAGGGCTCAGCCCAGGAGCACATTTCCTGAGAATGGGGTTGATGGAGGCGATGAGGAGGAGGTGGAGGGCTTACCGGAGCTTATACCCGGAGATAAAGATTATGTTTACACTGTTATGATGCTTAGAGATAGCATGGATGCTGAGGCGCAGGAAGGTGCGTGAATACAGCTACTGTTGGGTCTTGGCCGGCCTCGTTAGGTCCTGTATCAGGAGTACCTTGGAAACGACCAATTTGTATTAAACTCAAAATGTTCCAGTCAGAAAGCGTGTCTGGACGCAGCGTGACAGCGCATCACGTCTGGGATGCGTTTGTGATGCGTCTATACGAAGCGTCTGGGATGCTCCCGGATGCAGGTTCGAATCCTCGTCACGGCCCTTGGGGATTTGTTCACCATAGCTGCATTTAGCGAAGTTGGGGCTGCACTGATCAATCTAAGCCGGGGGGGGGCAGGGTTGTGTACGGATTCACAGCTTTTTTTCCCCCAAATATACAAATAAAAGTTGATCATTAGGCACGTATCGGCTATCAGTGAATGACAGATAGTAGGCTGGTATTGATTTAAAAGTTTCTTCTTCTAGTCATAATCTACTAGTGACAGGAGGGATGCCAGCGACTTCGGGGTTTATAAGAGTTCTATGGCAAGTAGGACAAAATACCTGAATTATAAAGTCAGTATTCTGACCGGTTGGACAATAGATAATAGTGATGTGAGGCAGAAGGTAGTAAAGATGAAAGTGATGACTGTGTGCGTGCGTGCGTGCGTGCGTGTGTGTGTGTACGATTTTGGTGAGTTTGTGCGATACAAGCTGGAAAGAGCGATGGTTATCTTGAGGTTATCTTGAGATGATTTCGGGGCCTTAGTGTCCCCGCGGCCCGGTCCTCGACCAGGCCTGCATCCCCAGATAGCAGCCCGTGACAGCTGACTAACACCCAGGTACCTATTTTACTGCTAGGTAACAGGGGCATAGGGTGAAAGAAACTCTGCCCATTGTTTCTCGCCGGCGCCTGGGACCGAACCCGGGACCACAAGATCACAAGTCCAGCGTGCTGTCCGCTCGGCCGACCGGCTCCCTGAGAGAGAGGGGTGAGAGGGGTGCCGGAGGGTGATGGTGCGAGAGCCATGTGTGGACTATAAGGTGTTTGAGATGGCACTTAGTATGGCTCAGGAGGAAGAGAGCTGCCAAGAGTTTAGAAGGTGTGTGAGATAATTGTCTTGGTGTAATAAGTGTGTGGGCTGGCTGGCTGACTCACTCACTCACTCACTCACTCACTCTCACTCACTCACTCACTCACTCACTCACTCACTCACTCACTCACTCACTAACCTGACCGACCGACTGACTTACCTACTCACAGACTCGTTGACCAAACCACTTACTGGATGGATTGCTGTCTGGGAAAGTGTGTACAGCTGGATAAGTAGAGCTCCATTAGGTTCTCAGACTTCCAGTACCTGACAGTGAGGAGCCACATGTTAATAGGACGAGTGTTTGCAACACACACTTTTAAAATCTACGGAATAACCATTAGATTTTATTGTAAGAACTGAATATATTTTTTATTTTAGAATTAATAAGTTTTTTAAATTTCTGAGAGAATTAAACATGAACAGAAATTAATTGAGATACCTTTAAATAGCATTTAATTATCATTTAAATTTACATACAAGGTTTGTATATACTAGTAGTAGTTTAAATGAGCAAGAAATTTACAGGGTACACACAAAACACAGAATACATAAACTACAAAACGGAATAATATCCGTCTATACGAATTTCAAAACGAGGCATAAGCTACACGACGAAATCGCCACTGTAATCTGGGTTCAGGCGACGTACTCCACTGAAATCCGATTTAGTGGCGAAGCTGTCTGCCACCAGGTCGCTGCCCAAAGCCCCTGGGGGTGAACAGCCTAGTGGACCTGATCCTCCCCCCCTCCCCAAGGGCTGGCGACAACAGCCGCTACTTCTCTGTGTAGGCCTACCCAGCATAATGGCCGTGTTGAAGTGGTTAGGAAAACTGGCAACCTACCTTGAGGTGCTTCCGGGGCTTAGCGTCCCCGCGGCCCGGTCGTCGACCAGGCCTCCTTCCTAGGGTAGAGGGGGGAAATGGGGAGATTAAGACACAGGGGGAAGGGGGGTAGGGGTTAATTTATTGATAATTTGTCTTCAAATTGTATTTTTATTTTTGTAAATATATAAAGATTTACTTTGTTGGGTAGCGTCATTCATCCCATGAATAAATATCCCACCATAAGGATAGCATCCACCTTTTTTTACAAAAAAGTATTTTACATGGTGAATTTTACAATAATACACATTTGTGATATGTCTGGAGTGCTCTCCATTTCTGATATGGAGAAGTCTGAGATGAAGTCTCAGACTTCATCTCAGAAGTCTTCTGAGATGAAGACTTCATCTATTGTCTGTAATTCGGGTATTTTGTCCTACTTGCCATAAAACTCTTATAAACCCCGAAGAGCTGGTCGCTGGCATCTTCTCTTCATCTCATTTCTGAGATGAAGTCTCTGCTCGAGGCAGACTTCTCAAGCTTGCAGACGTTGCAACTCCTCAGTTCAGTCAATAATTTCCTCTGCGAATCTTCGTGGGCCACGTCTTTCTTGCTTATGCAGATTCGTTGCTACACTGAAGAATGTTGACCAGACCACACACTAGAAGGTGAAAGGACGACGATGTTTCGGTCCGTCCTGGACCATTCCCAAGTCGATCGACTTGGGAATGGTCCAGGACGGACCAAAACGTCGTCGTCCCTTCACCTTCTAGTGTGTGGTCTGGTCAACATACTAATAATGTACTCGTGTGTTTATTGACTCGTTCTTCCGCCTAACTTTCTAAATCTATCGTGACAAAAGTGTGTTTTTTATCACGCTTTTAATATCTAGACGAGAAATGGTGTAATACTCGACATGCTCTCTAAGACACCCTGAGAAAATAATACTTTCTTGTTCATTTCATTAAATTCCTACGTAAGATTGGATCCGAATAAACTTCCTCACGTTTTTTGATCAAATAGTATTTTATCAGTTTCTTAGATTTCAACAACTGCCCCGCTGTTTCTCGCCTGACATGGTAACATTTAGTGCAGATTACTGTTTAGCTTCCTGCTGTACATCCCACTCACCTGCCAATGTAGCTCGCTGCCTGCTTATATCACCACAGCTATTTGGAAATTTAAATGTCAAGAAACTCTTTATCAGCCAAGTTACTGATCGTGACATATCCTTGTCTATTATGTTCTTTGGGATGTTAAGCGTGTAAAACATATCCTGCCTTAAATAATAATGGTATTCTGTACATGGAAGTTAAGAGTACTCTTGACAGTGAGTAACCAAAGTACTGATGGCAGCCATCATTGAGTGTATGCTTATGACTGGAAGGTAGACTTTTATTATTATTAACTTCTTTATTGACAAAATTAATTACAATTTTGCCTAATCTGAGGATTTGAATTACGTCTTATTAAAGTGAGGATAATGCTGGTATTCACTGTCACGCAGGACAGAGGGTCATACATAAGACAATAGGTCTAAACTGTAGGCTGAAGCACATATATATATCATGGTTACAATCAATGTTTTAATGTATG